TTTCCAGATATTTCCAGATGTTTCCAGATATTTCCAGATATTTCCAGATATTTCCAGATGTTTCCAGACATTCCCACACACCGTTTGACAGAGAAAGTCCATCACAAAGCTCCAGATGGACGACCACCAGAGGGGAAAAAAACACATCATCCAGATCTCAGAGCCGAGTCCAGATGTGAGCGCCCCCCAATGGATGTTTCCAGATATTTCCAGATGTTTCCAGATGTTTCCAGATGTTTCCTCCTTCTCCACACCTGGTTAAACCAGCTTAGCATCAGCAGAACTTACTCATCACCCTTCAGTCTGAGTTTGGTGTGAAGGAGAATGGAAACATCTCTGAGTTCCACCAGCTTTTAGCCAGACCTCCACACCCCAAACAGTCAACAAACAGTCCCAACAATCCCCAAACAGTCCCAAATAGTCCCAAATAGTCCCAAACAGTCCCAAATAGTCCCAAATAGTCCCAAATAGTCCCAAACAGTCCCAAACAGTCCCAAACAGTCCCAAATAGTCCCAAAAAGTCCCAAACAGTCCCAAACAGTCCCAAATAGTCCCAAATAGTCCCAAACAGTCCCAAACAGTCCCAAACAGTCCCAAACAGTCCCAAATAGTCCCAAACAGTCCCAAACAGTCCCAAACAGTCCCAAATAGTCCCAAACAGTCTACAAACAATCCCCAAACAGACCCAAACAGACCCAAACAGTCCCCAAACAGTCCCCAAACAGTCCCAGACCCTCTCAGGACTTCGGTTTTTGAGGGGTCCTGGTCTCAGTTTGGGATCGGTACCGTAGTGTCTGAAGCTCCCAATTAAGCCCAGACTCTTCTGGCCATAGAGCATAAACACCTGAGAAAACACGTTCCTAAAGTAGAGGGTAGGGAGGATGTTCAGGATATGGATGAAATACATTCTGCCTAAACTCCTGGAGAGAAACAACCTGGCGGAAGACAAAAAGCGAACATTCAGGATATGGATCAAATATATTCTGGCTACACACCTTGATAGAAACAACCTGGTGTAAGACAACAAGAAAACATCTCTGGGTTCAACCAGCTTTTAGCCAGACCTCCACACCCCAAACAATCCCCAAACAGTCCCAGACCCTCTCAGGAATTCGGTTTTTGAGGGGTCCTGGTCTCAGTTTGGGATCCGTACAACCAAGAACCACATTCCCACACATTCCCACACATCACAAAGCTCCAACTGGACGCCCACCAGAGGGAAAAAAACACAATATCCAGATCTCAGAGCCGAGTCCAGCTGTGAACGGCCTCTCGGCGGAGGCCCCCCCCCCAGAAAATCACCAAAAAAACACAGAAAATCACAGAAAAAACACAGAAAAACGCAGAAAAACGCAGAAAAGCTTCAATCACACGCCCAGAAAACCGAGCAATCGCACAATGGATGCATCAGAAAAGCAGAAAAAAACCCCTCAGACTCTCAGACTTTCAGTCTCTCTCTTTCAGTTTCAAACTCCAACTCCCAGCATGCCTTGCGGTGGTTCATTGGGATCCTTACCTAGGACGCCCAACCGGTAGTTGACAGTTATCACAATCACATTCCCAGTCCCAGACCCTCTCAGGAATTCGGTTTTTGAGGGGTCCTGGTCTCAGTTTGGGATCTTCACAACCAAAAGCCACATTCCCACATATTCCCACACCCCGTTTGACAGAGAAAGTCCAGAAATCCCAAAGCTCCAACTAGACGACCACCAGAGGAAAAAAAACACATCATCCAGATCTCAGAGCCGAGTCCAGATGTGAACGGCCTCTCGGCGGAGGCCCCCCCCACAGAAAATCGCAGAAAAACGCAGAAAAACACAGAAAAACACAGAAAAACACAGAAAATACAAAAAAAACACAAAAGAAAACACAGAAAAACACAGAAAAATACAGAAAAACACAAAAAAAACACAGAGAAACACACAAAAACACACAAAAACACACAGAAAAACACAGAAAAACACACAAAAAAACACAGAAAAACACAGATAAACACAAGAAAACACAGAAAAACACACAAAAAAAAAAGAAAAACACAGAAAAACCCACAAAAAAACACAGAAAAATACAAAAAAAACCACAAAAACACACAAAAACACACAAAAAACACAAAAAAACCCACAAAAACACAGAAAAACACAGAAAAACACAGAAAAACACAAAAAAAAACACAGAAAAACACAGAAAAACACAGAAAAGCTTCATTCACACGCCCCGAAAAAACCGAGCAATCGCACAACGGAGGCATCCGAAAAGCAGTAAAAAAAAAACCTCAGACTCTCAGTCTCTCTGTCAAACTCCAAACTCCAATTTCCCAGCATGCATTGCGGTCCTTACCTAGCACGCCCAGGCGGTAGTTGACGGTTATCACGATCACGTTCCCGTAACTGGCCAGGATGCTGCCGTCGAACATATTCCCAGTTCCCTCCATGTAGGAGCCCCCGTGGATAAAAACCATCACCGGTTTGGGGCTTCCACTCTCCCTAATGTCTGCAGGAAGAGGAGGAAGAGGAGGAAGAGGAGGAAGAGGAGGATTGATTAGACGACAAACCGAAGGCGACAGTCAGAAATTAACATTTTAAAACTTAAAAGGAGGCTTTGGCCACCACTTTGATTAAATTGGTATTTTTTTTTTTATAAGTAACCTCGGCACACTGGCTCTACAGGACTGAATCAGGAAATTAGAATATGGTGATAAAGCTCTTTATTTTCTGTAATGCAATTAAAAATCATGAAATGTCATACATTCTGGATTCATTACAATCAACTGAAATATCGCAAGCCTTTTATTGTTTTAATATCGCTGATTATGGCTTACAGCTTAAGAAACCCTAATATCCTATCTCAAAATATTAGAATATCGGATTTTTGAGTTTTCTAAAATAAATGAGACAATAAATAAATATATAAAATAAATAATAATAAAAATAAAATAAAAAAATATTAAACAAATAATTAGAAAATGAATATTAAAACATTATATATAATAATAACAAAAGAAAAAGAAAACATATGAAAAAAATTTACAAAATAAATTAAATCGCTGATTATGGCTCACAGCTTAAGAAACCCAAATATCCTATCTCAAAATATTAGAATATGGGATTTTTGAGTTTTCTTCAGCTGTACGCCATAATCAGCTATATTATCAATCAATCAATCAATCAATCAATCAATCAATCAATCAATCAATCACTTTATTTTAGTAAATTGTCCACATTAAACACAAGAAACAACAAAAGAAAAAAAGAAAAGAACAATAAACAAACAAACAAAATTAAAACAATAAAAGGCTTCCGATATTTCAGTTGATTTGTAATGAATCCAGAATGTATGACATTTCATGATTTTTAATCGCATTACAGAAAATAAAGAACTTTATCACAATATTCTTATTTTCTGAGACAGTCCTGTATGTTGGGCGGATTTTGTTAGTTTTGGGCATCAAATCATTCGCTGACATGTTATCGGATTTTATTAAAAAAAGGATAGTTAATGTGACACGTTTTTATTTTATTCCACAGAACTGACTGTCAACGAGCAAAAGAGGCAATTTTAACCGTCAGACCCAGAGGGAGTCAAACTTATTTAACTTACTTATTGATTATTTCCAGGTTTGACATATTTCTGAGCTGCAGAGAAATGAATGTGAACAGAAAACTAAAACCTGTTGGAACCAGAAGAGGTGATGCTAAATTAAAGGTTGTGGGGAATTAGCATTTTCCAACAACTGAAGGGATTTTATAAATGTCAGAGACACATCGATTCT